TAAACAATTTTGTGATGACGTAATTAACATTTTAAAATCGTGCATATATGAACATAATAATAATTAAGGTAGACAGGAATTACATATTTTCCTACCTTCTAACGCATATTCTTCTATAACTGCAAAAAATAGTTTTTTTAGATGCTTTTTCTCTTTTTTGTATTCTCTTAGCTTTAACTGTTTCTGTTATACAGGGTGTTATTGAAAGGTACGTACAACAAAATGGACAGTTTTTCGCGAAGTCTAAGAAGTCTGAAAAACTTATTTTGTGTTATCAAAATTATAAGGGGAAAATTAACCCTTATCCAACCTTTTTAGACGCTACTGAAGGATAAATACGTAAAATTAATTTATTTTAGTAAATCCTAGCAACTGTAAGAATAAAACTTTTGTCAAGACTAAATGTTGCTATAGAAACGAAAGATGATCTTTTTATCAGAGGTGTACAACGAATTTGGACATAAATTTTAATAATTTTTATCTCTAAAAGGAAAACACTTTTACCTGAACTTTTTTTAACTTTTAGCAGCCATACTTCGAGACCAATTGCCGATTTTATTTTGTACGTACCTTTCAATAACAGGCTGTATACTCTGGGCGGCTTATACACACGTTGTGTATGTGGTGACGATCAACACGTTCGGAACGAAGACAATTGTCAAAATTAATTAATTTAATTTCTAACTCTATCTTCCAGAAATTATACGTAGGTATGCACTTTCACTTTTCAAAATTTAGACAATTCAGTTTAACCAATAGTAAGTTGTTTGTCTTCCTCCATTTTAAGGAATGAAGCTTATTAACTTAGTGAATTAAATCAACAATTATAGCATTGTATTTCCCATTTTAAATTATAAATAAATAATTAACACTAGAGGCACATGAAGTAGCACTTTTCTACCGTTTAGTGAACAAAAATATATAACGAAGCTGTTTGCTTTTGGCTTTCTTTTCATAAATAGACATGCAAAATTCATTGGCGATTGAAACCCCTGCCATAGTGTTCCTTCTTACGATGATAACATGCAAAGAACAGAATAAGATGTTTTTATTACCTGGAAAATGACCATGGTTAGCAGTTTTAAAATCGCATAAACTTACCGCTAAGAATAGTGGAAACGAAAGAACACCAAAAGGACCAGCTCTAATCTGCAATGCTCTCTGAGAACGCATCAGCATAAAGACGGTATATTTTTTCAGTCGTATGTCGGCTTGATACCATTTAGAATTCCATATTGCGTTTGGAATAATTTCACTCTTCAAAATAAAAAAAAAAGAAAATCGAAGTACACCAACAAGAACAATTTTGAAACACATCTTACAGCATTAAGAAAATCTTGTCCAGCTACACATGCCACAAACAAAGCCATAATCCATCCCAGAATGTGAAAAACAGCTCCCACAATATTAATTTTCTGAAATAGAAACTATCTTGTCATCAATGCTTACACTATTAATTGCGTAATTACGTCCAGAATTTGCTTTTCCAGGCAGGCACAAATAGTACCCGTTAAAAGAAAATGACTAAACATACACTGAAAGAAAGCATTATCTAGTCTTGAAGCAAACCTAGAAAATGTAGTTGAAGTAGCTTAAATTCAAGCAAAAACTGAACATACTCTAATATCTGGATGTGATAGGAAATACATCGTTTTAAATTTCTTTGACTCACTGCGTAGCTCTTGTCATTAAAACACCCTTCAATCATAACTTTCAAATGCTGAATTCTTAATATGATATGATGTGCTATTTCAAAAGCGTTGAGAGAGATATGTAAGCACATTTTTATAAGCAAGTGACTAACAAAAATGGCTAATAAAGAAAATAACTGAAAAACGGGAAAATAGTCTATGTTGAAGGGAATCCAAAATGGTGCTATTAAGCCACAGTGGTTTTCTTTCATGCCTCTCTCGGACGTAATTCTTTTGCACTTTGATTTCTCGGACAGCTTTAGAAAAGTGTAAAATATCACGGCACCTACAGTGTAATTAAATAACAACTCCACTCCTAAGTTTAATTTTTTGTTTCGTTTTTCAAAATTGGGAGGAACCCCAAATATTTCAAAGTCAGATAAATCTCGCATCAAAAGAGCAACGGGTTTTTGATTTTTGACAAAGACGTAGACCATATAAGTGCATCCGCTGACACCTATACCTCAGCAAGTTCTTCGGTGATTGTGAATTCTGGATGTTCTACAAAAAAGCAAAAAGGCAAAATCTATAATGTTCTAGATGGGTACTCTATTAGAAACATACTTATGGCTAGTAAGTAAGCGTGTGTGCTAAGGGAAAGTACTACAATTCCGCTAATTATAAAAAAAATTATAACCCTAATTCTATAATTTATTCCAGGACTTAATTCGTTTCCTTCTGGTGGCCACACTAAACTGAATCGAAAAATTTTTCGACTTGTTTGGCATATTGCAATGTCTTTGTTTATAGGCATCATTTATTTTTTGCTGAAATTCGATGATTTTTTATTAAAAATAAAAACCACGTATTTTACTTACATGGAGAATTTGCAATCCAAAATGTGTCAAGTATCTAGAAACTTTTGACTGCCAACAATAACGAAAAAGTGTGTACAAGTTTTCGTTATTATTTGATTAATAAAATGTTTTTAGTCTTCACCAAGATATAATATTCATCGATTGCTTTTATATTATATGTAAATACGACATTGTTCTAACAACGAAGACATAAAACTAATGCCAATCATTTGTGTTTCCCTATACTAAGGAAATTGTTAGAAGTTATTTGATCGTTGTAAGCTTGGCCACGTAACTGGAATAACAACTCCTATATTCGTGACATGTAAATAATTCTTAATCCTTTTGTTGGAATATTATAAAAGAGTGGTTATTTTTATTTTGTCTGCTGTAGTTACCCCTTATTACTCTGTCTGACCGTTATTTTATTCATAGCTTTTATAATATTTATAATGTATTCGTCTAGTTCAAATTCAGACCCACAAATCGATTAACCCAAGAGGGGATATTTAATTTAAAATAATCTGTAAGAATTTGCCGTAGCTAGAAGCACTATGATTTTTTATTGGGCTGGACACAAGCTGATATATATTATAGCAGCGAAAATTTCCTTCGATAGAACTTCCCTCGCCCCTAAAGTACCTACAGTTGGACAAATACAGCTTCAAAAAATTGGTCTAAAGAGTTTAGTTATGTTTTTTTTCTCATTACATTTTTGTAGCGGAGCATTTAAAAAAAAATTGCGATGACATCAACATTTTTGCAAGAACACGTCTCAGTTTGGATAGATGTAGTGTAATACTAAAAAAATAGGGCTAGGCGGTTGAAATTTATGTGCTGCGTATGGACTACGGCAGACCAGTGGCTCGCAACCGATGTTACGCATCGCGAAGAAAATTATGAGAAAACTAACGTTAACTGAACGTCAGTTGATGATTCTAAAATCCATATCCACGACACAATAATAATAATTGTATTTTTAATAATTTTCAAGTGTCGGTCTCGCTGAAAATAAAAATGATGCACAATTGGAAAGTGAGAAGCGACCGCCCAGCTTTATTTAAAGCAACGACTTCATAGCAAAACGCATCTGTGCGTGATGTTCGACGTCCCGTATGCTGTTGAATGCGCCAAGGTCATCAAAAAAGGTTACGAGTGCAAAAAATTTATTTACAGCACATTATCAATGGGAATTCAATACATCGGAAGAATGTCACGTAGACATTTGTTTGATTTGAATGAGTTTATCGCCCCAAAACAGATGACTAAAATTATTCATAAGCCTCCATTGAACAAAATATTCTGAATGTTATTATTATAATTCTTACCCTATCATTATTTTATTGTTATAAAGACGAGCGTATTCTCACATTTTCCAGAAAATTGGGTGCCTCGTTCTTAATTTGATCAATAATAAATTGACTGATTCATTAATTTTTTTGTGTCACCTATTTAAGCAAATATAAAAAATATGAATGCAATGATTAAAAGTCTGTTCATATTTTGAACGTTTGCGAAAGAATTTATTCGGCAAAATTTTGAGATGCTCTAATCAATTTTTTGGGGTTGATAAACAGATACATTCTCATTAAAAAGTTACCATTCTTACAATAACTTCAAAACGTCAAGATTTCAAAGTATTCAATTTTGCAATTCTTGATTTCATCAATAAAATAAATTGACCCAGTCATTAATTTTTTTCACACACCCCGTGTAGGCAAATGTAAAAAATATTTATGCAGTGATGAATCACAATTATAGGTTCAACATACTTTGCACAATGCACATTTAAGACTTTTGCGGAAAAATTTTGGGGTGGCGTAATCAATTTTTTAGGGGGGGGGATGAGCAAATATATTTTGATCAAAAATTTACCATGCCTATGATAACTTTAAAACATCTCCAAGATTTCAAAGCATTCGGTTTTGTAGTTCCTGATTAAATAAATAAAATAAATTCCCGCGTTCATTAATTTTTTTGGGTCACTCTGTATATGCAAATCCAAAAAATATGAATGGAATGATAAATCACAAGTATTGTCTCATCATACTTTGCACATTTAAGATAGGATTTATTCAGCAAAATTTTGAGGTGACGTCATCAATTTTTTAGGGGGGGCATGAGGAAATATATTTTGACTAAAAATTGACCATGGCTATGACAATTGTAAAACATCTCCAAGATTTCAAAGCATTCGGTTTTGTCATTCCTGATTAATTCAATAAAATATATTCAGGCATTCATTAATTATTTTGAGTCACCATGTATATGCAGATCCAAAAAATATGAATGGAATGATAAATTACGAGTACAGACTCATCATATTTTCTACATTTTAGACAGGATTTATGCCGCAAACTTTTGAGGGGACGTCATGAATTCATACTCCAGTAATCCACTTACTATATGGACATCAGATTTTAATTCCACAATAGATACAAGAGAGAGAGAGAGAGAGAGAGAGAGAGAGCGAGAGAAAAAAAATGAATGTAAAGAACTTTATAGTCAGTAATTTAGTGTAATTTTTTATTACATAAAATTTAAAACTATCTGCACAGCAATTCCTCACAATAACAAATAAGCACAGGTATACTTAGCACGTGACATCCTTTGTGGTAAAAAGAAATCTATGGCCATACAATGTCTTCTATCCATTGGATATAATTTGAAACTCTCACATATACTCCAGGACTACCAGCACAACCTTTTCCGAAGGACGTTATGCCTATTATGTCATACATTTCTAATACTTCGTCACCAGTGTGATAAATTTGTAGCGGACCTCCAGAATCTCCCTACAAAAAAAGAAACTTTATTAGTGTTAACGGCTAAGTCATACTTACTTCTAAATTTAATGAACATTCAGCACAAACCTTTTAGTCATATGCTGGGGCGAAAGAAATACTAGGAACAAGAAACAAAAGGGACTTTAAAATGCAGGTGGTAACGGCAAAAATAATAAACGGTGGGAATAACTGCAAAATGATTTTAAAGACGGAAAAAGGAAAAATTTAAGACAAATAAGTAAATCGTAAACACTGGTCTTGAACACCGTAGTATAGTATAGACTAGGTAGTATAATATATTAGTATGTATTTACTTTACAGGTGTCTTTTTCTTCTGTCATCGAGCCGGCACAAAATTGAATATCATTCAAAATGCCTCTGCTGAGTTTTCTTTGATTCTTGTAGAACCCTTTGCAAACGTTCCAATCAAAAAGGTTAAGAGTGACTTTAAGCAAATCGTTGCTGCCTTCGCCAACCCAAGACGTTTGACCCCATCCTGTTGCTATGGCACTTTGAACTGTGATGTTTGGTGATAAATAAAGGCACGCAGGTCGTGCGTATGGATTCATTTTCGCTGGTTTTTCTAATTTTAACAATCCAATATCGTGGTAGTGAGAATTGGCTCTGTAGTCAGGATGAACTATCCGGTCAGCTATTCTTACTTCTTGTCTTTGATCGGTGAGTTGGTTCACACCGAGTTTTACCCGTATAGCATTTCCTCTGTAAATTGCAGTAATGTATAGAATGAGGACATTACTTTTTTTAATTATTGATTATATTAAATAAGTTTGACATATCATTTTTCGTTAAAAAAAGAAAAATTTTAATAAGTATGGATACAGCTAAATATTTCTAAAACGGTTTATTGGTATACAGATAAATATATTTCAACTCCATCATCCGAAATGTTTTGAAGATACAAGGCCAATTGTTTAATTAATGCAGAAAAAAAAATGTTTAAAAAATTTGAATTTGACCCCTCGTGCTATTTATAAAAAATCAATGTGGCCTTGTATCTCCAAAACAAATGTTGATGGAAATTTGAACAATATTTTGGAGGATAGAGTTCAAATACTTCTGGAAATATTTAGCCGTATTCATACTTTAGGTTGTGGTGACCGAATTTGAATTTAACAACGGCGCGAAATCACATTTGCATAATTTGAATTTGAGAAAAAACAGAATTCAAGTAAAAAAATCGTTAAACATAGGCAACCATATATGCACGTAGCGCTTGGGGGTAATTCTGCATGTTTAGTTAGAGGGTGGTATTTGGCTTGGTAGAGACAGAGGGCAGCATGACGAAGCGTCAGTCTGGATGTGTTTTTGTGAGTGTAACCACTTGGTAAGGTAGTTTTGGTTAGTTTAGTTGGTTTGATAGTTAATTAAACGGAGGAAGCCTTTGCTTAACGACAATCAATCGTAACTTCGATGATGACACAGTTTTCCCCCAACACGTGTAGCTAATTCTTCCGGCTTTTAATCGAAAAAACATGCGTGCTGTAGATTTGTTTTATTGTTTGTAAATTCACTAATCAATCAGGATTATTTAAATAAACCACTTGCTAGAAGATCTCATGAAATTCACTTAGTCAGGATAATACCTTTGTTTAATTACGAATAAGTTTCTGGATGCATATACGTAAGTGTTACATTATAACCACTGGGCGGAAAAATATCTTACGGATGCAATTCCCCAGTTGAAGCAAGGTGTGTTTTACGGCGAGTAGCGGGGACGCTTTGATCTGGTCCACAAGGTCGTAGCCAGTGCGTCGCTTGGAGTGTTTACAGCTTGTTAAAAAACTACTTCTATATTACTATATTACTTCAAATAAAAATACTCGATGCCCTTTTTAATTTTTCAAACACATGACCACAGATTTGTGATCTTGAAATGTTATATTATGTTGATATAGTCCAAAAGAAAAATATATTTGTAATCAAACTATCGCCGCGACAGCACTGGATCGAGCGTATGAAACACAATTCCGCGCGTTGATTATAACACTTTTTAAATCTTCACACAATATTGCTAATAGTTCATTTACGGCAGTTAAACTAACTAATTCATACCGTGAACTGATGGGGGGTTAAAATAATTTTTTCTCTTAGGCGGTTATCATCGTTATCATGATTACATCACTGAGGCATGTCTTTACAACGCTATAGATTGATTACTTCATCGAGGCATTTCCTCACAACGCTAAAGATTGATTACATCACTGAGGCATGTCCTCCCAACGCTAGAGATTGATAACATCAACGATGTACTACCTCACAACGCTAAAATCTACATTATCGAGGCGTTTCCTCGCAACGCTAAAATTTAGATCATCGAGGTATTTCCTCTCAACGATAAAATTTACATCACCGAGACGCTTTTCTCTGGACCGGATATTTTTGTGTTTATTTAATATCTGTTTTGTAGGGGTAATCAGTTCGCGGTATTCTAAACTCTCAAAGTAAATTGTTTTTTTTTTAAGTAACCAATCACTTAGATCATAATATAATTTAACATAATGTAAACTCTTTGTTTGAATCGTTGATAAAGTGTGGCAAATATTAATTTCATGTAAATTTTCTTAACTTTGCAATGTTTCACGTCCTACAATATTTCTTTATCTCACAGTTTTAACCTCAGTAATTTTCCTTTGTTGTATAATTTTCATTGGACGCAAATTTCATGCTCTGCAGTTTTAACCTCACATAATATTTTTACTTGCACAAGTTTATTTCACACCAGATCTTTTGTTTCTCATAAATCTTTACTAGTTTTCTTTTGTAAATATTTTGTTGATGAATGTGTCCATCGTATAAATTATTTGATGTCCAATTTTAATCTCACATAACAATTATTTGTTGTTTAAAATTTCACAAGATTGTATGGCGAATTTAAATGTTGTTTATTGAAACTTTAACACTTGTTCAGTTGTTGTTAATATCAGAGTCATTGAACATTTAAGATGGAATTGAAGTTAAATAACACAGAAAACGTGGCAAAAGTGAAGTGCGGTTCCTAGTCGAGCTGGCGAAATTTATCGCGTCACCTGCACAAAGGGTACAGGTTTGGATAGATTCAGGGGTGGTCGCGATGTTGTGGCGCTGTCGACTTGGCCCAATAGTCGAGACCCAACTGACTGCGGATATGCGATCGTAACGGACTAGTTTCGGACGACATGTTCGTCATTGAGATGTGCTGTGCGGGTAGGCTTGCGATAGGTAGAATCACCGTCGTGGGGGGCGAATAGCCCCGACCGGTAGCCCCAAATTCCGCTTGTGCTAGAACGCTCTATGGGTATTTTTATTGACTGCCGTAATTTTAAATCTGCCGCCACACGCCCGTAATAACTTGTGTATTTGCATCCAGTTACTTTAACTCAGATTTTGCTTTGTTTCTTTGTTTCTATTAAATTTGCGATATTCAAATATTTGCTTTAGTCCATTTTACATATGTGTAGGATTTTGTGATTGCTCGGTTTTCGTATGTGTTTGTCTGTCAATTCGCGAGTGTCTTTTCTTTCATATTTTTAAGGTGTTTCATTTGAAATGTAATATGTCGGTGAATTAACCATAGGGGGTTTTTGGAGTTGAAAAGCGATTGCGATTCGGCCCCCATTGGGCAGCCAGAGGGCACATCACGGGTCACTCTCGCTAGCAACTTCTTTCTTCCTGAGAGGGGAGCGGTTTTCGCCTCTTCCCAAAAATTTTGTCTACGATTTCTTACGCTCTCTACGCGTACGCAGTATGCGTAGAGAGCGTAAGAAATGTATGCTCACTTGTATGAAAGAACGTCTTCCCACCACGTTTCAAAAAAAAACACAACGTAGGTTTCCATTTTGTTAGACGATCACAGCCAAGGCCAAATTTTGAATTTTGTTTCAAATTTTTTTCAAGTGTCAATTTAAAGGCGGGAAGTTTGAGTTATCACAAGATAAAACTTTTTTCAAGATTTCACATTTTTATCACTGACGATGTACGAAAAACAGAAACAATTTGACAGCATACTTACGCATTTATATCAGTCAAACAATGTGCAGCTGTTAAGACAAAATTGTTGCTTAAAATCGTTCCACCACAGAGCCATTGCAAATCTCCAGGAGTTGGTTCGTATCCAACTGCGGTCTATCACAAAAAAAAATAATCGATTACAATAAAAATTATAAATGATTTCAAAAAACGTGTATTCGTGATTGTAAACTTTCAATTGACAATTCCTTTTGTAAGACATTCTGTTTACATGGCTTTAGTTTTAAATTAATTATTACGTTGACATCAAACGCGTCTCTGCCTACGAATTAGAGGTTGGTAAGTTAATATGTAAACTATGAGTAGAAACTATCAAGTTTTAGAGAAGGCTGTATATACTTCTCAGGGCGTACTTTTTAGAAACATTGCTGTTTATCACTTGGAATTATCGTTAACAAAATAATAATAGTACGACGCCTATGGATTTTCTAGTATGTGCGGTGATGATGGGTGACTCATCGGCGGTGCCGCCGGCCGAACGGCGTTCGCTAAAGAAAAGCCTGAAACACGAAGTCGCGATGAGTGTTCTAGAACAAGCCTAGAAGCGGTGACGGAGACCTCTCGAGAAGGACCGCGCGGCTGTTTAAATGGGAACCACCGTCGAGAGCAGTTAGTGTAGTCCAGGCAATGGAAGAAGTAGAATCTAGTCAAATCCATTCCAGTCGGAATTATTCTGTACATAATCGTTGTGTCATTACAATTAGTTGTGTATAATAGTATAAATTGTTGAGTTTTAGCCATGCCGATTTTAATCATCGATCAGCGTAACAATATCTTATATGAAACTTAGTTTATACTTAGTTCAAAAGTGTATTAATTTTTTTGCCCAACTGGTTGAAATGTTTGAGAACAATCAAATTTGTTGTTCCAATTTCCTATTTAAATTTTCTCACCATGTGTGGAAATTCTTTTCGATCAGCTGCCACACCACCTGCAATAATTAGTTGTACGGCATCTGGTGACTCATATACGTAACGAGAGTACTCTTGACATTCTGAAATAACAAATGCACAAATATATTTTTCACTTTCCGAGCATCAGCAAACGAAGTATTTTAATCAAGTCACTCACTTTAATACTTTTTTCAAATTGTTTTAACAGCATTTTGATTTTGAATTTTGAAACTGCAAAACCGAATGCTCTGAAATCTTGCAGACGTTTGAAAGTTATCGTAAGCATTGTAAATTTTTAATCAAAGTAAGTCTTCTTATGTTTGTATTATGAATATCGTGTAGATTGTAAAACGTTAATCACAATTTGGTTAATCATCCCCAGCAACAATGGAATGACGTTATCTCTAGGTTTTAAGTTGTTTGGTGTATGACAAAAGAAGGTGCTTGAATTAGCCGAAGCTAGAGTTATTTCAGCAAAGAGAGTTCATTTAATTAACCCGCAAAACGATGCAAAAAAGGGATGTTATAATTTTGAAGCCTTTGTCTATCTGTCTGTGTCGGAAGTTTTTAAATAAATATTAACACTTGTTTTAACCTATAGGGAGTATCATAAAAAATAAAATTCTTCTGTCAAATTAAATTTCGACCAACTTTTTCCTTACCATATTTAAGTGAACAATGGTTCCAATTTTTAGATGTATTTGAACAAAAATTACTTTAACTCTTATATACCTACTTACTTTTTTTACTTATATCGCCTGGTGATCTACGTGGTGGAGTATTTTCCGTCACTGTTTGGTTTTGTGGACAACACACTATTGGTTGTTTTCCTTGAAATCCACATGTTTGAGGAAACCGTCTCTGTTGTAGTGCCTCTCGTGCTTTTTCACAGTCATTAAACAATTTACAAACCCCCGGTGATTTAGTTGATCGTAAAGTACATACGTCACCTAAAAAATGTAAAGATAAAATCAATATTTTTACTGGTCCAATAAAACTCACATCTGCAAACGTAAAGAACAATTTTTTAAATAACGTAAATAAAAATAAAGAATTTTGAATTTGTCTAAGATTTAACTCCAAAACCAGAAAATCAAATAAATAAAGAATGAGGAAACCTGTGTTGATCAGGGATTGTTTAATGTCCCCACAAAAAAAAACCACAGGGGTTAAGGTCAGTGAAGCGAGGCGGCCACGGCAGTGGACCATTTCTTGTAGTTTATCCCCCTGGATAGTTCTGATTGAAAAATCTCTACATTTTATTAGCGTAACGAGCCGGGGCTACGTCCTGGAGATGCCACGTATCTCGGTGAGTCGGTAAGGGGATATCATCCAGGAGGCAGTGTTGTGAAATAGTTAACTACAAGTAGTTAAAAATGTGGTTCAACTATTGTCGGTGAAGTTAACTACGTATTTAACTATATATTTTTTTGTAGTTGAAACGTATTTCAACTAAAATTTTAATACATTTTTAACTACAATTTAACTACATTTTTAATTACATTCTTGAACAATCTTTTCTCAATTTTGTTGGGTTTTAGAAAAGTGAAGCAGGTTGCAAAAGTAATATGTAACACGGACAGGTACATCTTCTTGGGATTAAGAGGGATATCAGCTCTTTTTAATCCGCAACTTTGTTGGTCTTCGACTCCGCCCTACTGTAAGGTTGGATAACCGAAGTAAAATCTTCTTCATTAGTTGCTCAGTTGAGTTCAACCTTTTGAAAATTATGTCCTGTATTCTGTAGCCTGCTGTATTACGGACGTGTGGCGGCTAATTTGAAATTGTGGTAGTCAACAAGAAAATAAAATTTTAATAAAACTCTATGTAGCGGGAGGGCACAGCGACAGTGGCACCAGAGCGCTTTCTCGTGAATACTTATGACTGCAAAAGTTGAGAGGAGACTCGGGTAAGAGTGTGGCAATCGAACTATATCAATTTCATTTTAGAACACAGTAAAATTACCCATAGGTGGCGTTGTAGCACGAGCAGAGTTTGGGGCTCCTGGTTGTGGCTGTTCTCCCACCACGACGGTGATTCTACTCTATCGGCAAGCACATGCCGCCCAGCACCCCTCTATCTAACGAAGAAACGTGCCGCGCTAATAGACCATTATCACATGAACCCTAAATGGGAATGAGTGTACAGTGCACTTAGCTCAGTATATAGTTAAATATTGAGTGTTTTTTTCGAAAAATTATTTCATTAGTTAACAGTTTTTTTCTGAATCGTGAGCGCTTTAAGAAATTCAGCCAGAATCGTCCATTCGTAGTGAGGTAACAACTTTAACCTCATTTGATAGTCAACGAACGTTTTTGTTCACAAAAAGTTTCCAGTAGATATATACTGGTTTTTATTGAACAAAACTAAGCAACCAGCTTTACTATGCACCTGCTCTGGTTGTGGCCTACATATCCACCGATTTGATCTTCAACCATGAGTTCATCCCCTACTACTGCTAATCACGTTAGCTTCCCTAAGAAGCACCAAGCTGTTGTACTCAATTCCGTTAATGAGACGAAATTAACTGAATATGTTGTCGCTGTTGGTAGTTTAGTCCAGCCCAAAAACGTCCACCTTCGCCTCAAGAATAGCGAACAACCGTATTTGTATATATATCTAAAGGATAAACTTTTAGTAGACGAGCTTGTGACGAAATATTCTTCATTAACTATTAACAATCAAGAAGTTGGGATTCGACGTCTGATTACACCCGCACAGCGAATAATTATTTCAAACTTATGTCCTACCATCCCCCATGACAGTATCCTCTCTGTTATTAAAACGCTAGGTTACAAGTCCGTCTCTCCTGTGTCCTTTTTAAGGGCAGGGATTCAAAATGAGGTGTGACGAGCCGTCACTAAATTCGTTCACGAGAAAATTGTAACTAAAAAGACTAATAACAAACCCTCAAAACATAACGCGAAAATTTGCAAATCTTAATTAATTAACACGCATGTTCTAATCGGCATATAGTACCATTTAAATAGATAAACAAAAATCAACTATCAATCCCCAAATGCAGGAACAAAACTCGCGTATTCGCAAATTGCGAATAACATTGCGCTTGCCAGACATTGCAAATAAATTGTACAAAATAATGCGCCAGAAATATCGCCAATCGCAATTACTCTCATCTAAAAATTGTATCCAAACCAAAACAGCTGCAAACGAAACGCAGACGCATAAAAAACATCAAAGAACGCCGTCGCTTCAAACTTACTACGTCATCAACCCAGCAGTGCATCTGTGCACGCACACTCATCTTAGCCCTCGCTAGCATGATCCCCACTTCATCCCCGGAACTGAGATTTCATCAGCTTCCCATATTTTTACCATATAAGGAAGCGGACTTACCGATTGGTCGACGCATCTTCACATTTTCATGACCATATAAGGGCATATAGGACCACACAAAAGCACGGTTCTATTTCTGTCCAAAACGAAGCTATATAAGGCTGAATTTCGAGCAGGAAAGAGATTCAGTTAGAGTAGAAGTTTCCAGTTGTCGCCGAAGGCTCTGCCGAATCGTTGGTCGAGATTTTTTTATTAATTTTTGCTGAATTTTGAAGAAATCCGAACTTAGAAGAATTTGCTGAGCCCGAGAGGAAGATAGAAAAAATTCTCAATGCTGCAGCTGTGTAAGTCTACCTTTTAGTCATTCTTAATTTATCTTGCTTTCCGTTTTTTCGTCATGTGTTCTCGAGTTCGAATCGTACATGTGTAACGTTTAATTTATGCGTTTTCTTCGTTTCGTTGGGTGTGAACAGTTAGCGCCGGCACCGAAAGTAATCTTTAGTGCTTCCATATGTTCGTCGGTTCTTGATTGTTGGGGAGGATTTTTCGATAAATTACCGTTCGCTTTTATGATAATTATTCCAATATTTCTGTAAATTGCCGATTTAACTCGTTTGCTTGCGACATAAATATTTTATATGCGTTTTTGGAGAGGATTTTTCTGATTTTTACCGTTTGCTTTTGATGATAATTATTCCAATATCTCTTTAAATTTGCCGATTTAATTCTTTGCTTGCGACATGAATATTTTATGTGCGTTTTTGGGAAGTTCCCGAATTGAAACCTTTTAATCTAATTTTCTTGCTGTCGATTATTTTATATTGAATTTTTGCCGTTTAAATATGACTCCGTTCTCTGATTATTTTGCTATAGTATTTGGAAACCTCACATTATATTTTATTTTAATCGTCTCATTGTATTTTAGCGCATTTATGATACTAATGTCCCAATGTTTAACTGCATGTATAAATTATGACTGTTTATTTTTACATGTATCTAACTGTCCTGTAACCATCAATTTTTCTCGTGAACAATTGTTGTGCTCGGCATATTTAGCTAATCGATGTATGTAAAAACTCATTTATCTCTCTTTTTACATGTTTATATTCATAAGTTGTCGTAGATTTAAGTGCATGGTTTTAATCCGTTATTTTTAGTTGTTCTTATAATCAGTGGAGAATTCTTCGAATCCACTGAATTATTGGTTTTATTATTATTTCAGTTGTTTAATGATTTAATTAATATATAAATGCCCTATCGCAATTTATTTAAATAATTAAGTAATTATTCGATTTCGTAGTTAGTAGTTTTTTTGTTTTTTGTTTATTTATCACGCTCGTAATATCAATATGGTTTAGAAGGGTGTTGCAGTTAATTAAGGATTTACCGAATTAATTTTTAGTCTTTTTGCATGCTGATTTTTCTAGGATTAAGTTTATTAATTAAAAATGTGGGTTATGCTCATAGATTTTAAGAGTTTTATTAGTGGAATATAATTGCGTAGCGCGTTAGAAGATAGTTTTGCATGTTGTTTTGTTTTTTCGTGTTATGTGTGTGAATTTATTTTATGTATTATTTTTCTGTTGATTATTTACACAATTACTCGATTATTCTTTTGACATGCTTATAATGCTTTCTTTTAATATACGTATAAAAATGTTATAAATGTTTAATTATTGCTTCTTCCCCTACATGCAGTTTAGCTCTTCCATTTCCAAGGAAATGGGCCAACACCCAAATAAATAATTTTGTTAGTGTCCAAAAGCTCGGCCGCGGTCAAAACTATTTGGGCACGACAGAGGAGTATAGTCATGTACTCGGTTTTAGACGTTAGATATTTGTCACGCTGGATGAGTCGATAGATTTACCTTCGTCTTTGGTGATAAAACATGATGGTACAAATTATCGCATCTTCCTTACTTACGACGACCAAACTTGTTTTAAGTGTCATTTGACTGGTCATATAGCCAGCCAATGTACCAGTCAACCCCAGGAAATTACAGACCCCAGCATTTTGAATAAACCTACACCTACTAAAGTCCAAGATGAAGTTACCACCAGAAACGCAAATGCGCCGACAAATGAAACAATGGAAACTGAACACGTACCAGAAAAAGGTAGACCCACTCTTGAAGTATCCGCAAACAAAAGATCAAGTTCTTCCGCTGAGTCACCTGAGGCTGAACATTCGATCCCTAGCAGTGAAAACAGTTCTTTTGATCGAGCATTTAAAAAGGTTAGAACAAGTGATTCCACCGAGAGTTTGACGAGCACATTTGAGTTATTGGAACCTGCGCGTAGTTTTTGTGAAGTAGCCGATCCGCCTTTTGTTCTAGAGTTTTCCGAAATTGGTTAAATTTATGGAAGTTGTCGTAGGTGAATCTGACGTTTTAACCATTGCTTTTAACTAGTGTAGTGTAGTGTAAGCGCGGCTTTACGAGAAAAAAGAGAGGTAAAGCCAGCTTTAGCAATAAGTAGAATAATGAGGTTAGGTTGAAGACCTGTACGCTAAAAATATATGAAGAATCGTAGAATAAACAACTTTAAACAAATAGAGATTTCCTATAAAAGTTAATATACAACATTGGCGACGAGGAAAATCGGAGAAAATAGAAAAAACGCGGCAGAAGACGGGGAAATCCAAAAACAATCA